ATTTTTGCAAGTTTCGCAAAAATATCGAAGTTCATCATTCCCGTTCTATGTTAGTTATTTTTTGTTATAAGCCTTCTTTCGGGATCTAGTTCAGTGGAATAAATTCTTTCTATTATCGTCTATTGTACGAACTACAATAGAGATCAAAGGGAATTACATGAGGAGTTGTTTTAGTTTTAACTTAAAATCCGAGGTACGTTTTTATTTAACGTATAACGAACCCTTTGATGTTTTGTCTGGTTATTTTTTATAATAAAAGATTGGCGTTCTTTCAATACTATTGTTTGCTGGATAAATAATTTTTCTTCTTTCCACCATTGTTTTTTAATGCTACGCAAAATAATGATTTAAAATATTTACAAATAAAAATCCAACGAGCAGAGACGAGAATTGTATTTTCAGATTTTTTAACCCTTAATAATTAACGGAATTCAAATGCTCTGAATATAATTTAAACTTGAAAACTACAATTCTCTTTCTCTCGTCTTGCCGGCAAAAAAATAAAGGAAAAGCTTCTGCCGCAGAAACCGGAATGTTATAAATATTCAGTTATCAAATAAATATTCATAGTTGCTTTATTTGAATAACGCGGCATTTTGAGGGAATAATTAAATTATCATTTTTTTAATTAAGCATATTGTACGGTATGAAATTCTATTGAAATAATATAGGTTCATTAATTCATAATGAATTGTACCTATACGTTTATAGAGGAGCTTTTTGATTCTCCACTCAGGTTAAAGTGTTTTCTCTCTACTTTTACTCTATTTTTTAAAGTGTGTTCTCTCTACCCTTTTTTTATTTTTAAGGAAGGTTGTAGGTGCCTAACTATTTTAATAACTTACCTACTTATAATTTGGAATTCATCTAGGTGTGAATTTAGCAAAAAAAGCTTCAGTGTATCGAATTATAAGTATGAAGGTATGCTCCTCCAAAATAATAGTTTCTCGGGACAATCAGACCGAGGAAATAGAATGAAACTTTTTCGTTTTTCTCCTCAAAATATTTCATAACCGCTCTAAGTTCAACTTCTCTCATTTATACGTTTAAAATTCAACGGGAGCTTTTTGCATTCCGAAACTCAAATAAAACGAAACCAAGTTTTATAAATAAAGTTCCTGTTATTCTCGCTATTAAACTCGCTATTTTCGTAAATATTGAATTCCTTTTTCGGGGCCGGGGCGTAATGGAAACGGCGGAAAGTCGGAAACTTTTGTTTTGTTGCTAAATTTTAATTTACCTTAATAAGTTGAATCTAAAAACGCGAATGGTCGATATAAATTCTATTTTAAACGAGCGTTATTTTATCGAATTCGGCTTGATTAAAATTGTATTACAACGAAATCGGAATTGTTATACATACATGGAATTGTAAATAACAGGACTATACCCTATTAATGTTCATTTTTTTTCATTTGGTGAAAATTCAAAACGAAACGACCGGATGGGAAATTATTGCAAAAACAAATACATAAACCGGTAATGAAACTAATTGTTTAATTAACTTCACTCCAATTAATGAGGTCAATAGCTTACAAAGAGACTCGACATTTTACGAAACGAATTAACCATTTTATTATTAATCTGGTAATGACGGATAGGGATGACTCTATTTATTAGATTTTGTTAAATTACTATCTATATAATATCATAAAAGCCTTCATTTCCATTGTAAATTAGCTAATTACATTATTTTACTATCTATTTCTGCATAAATTATGTAGGTATATTCTACATACAAGGTGTCCCAATAGTGCGGTAAAGCCCATTTACTCAGTTATTATAATAGATACGAAAAAATGGTAAATAGGAAAAATGTTAAGCACCTTTTGGCGCACAATTTAAAATTATTTCGAAATATACAGGGTGGCCCATAAATCGAAGCCATACCAAACATACCTTTTTTTAAAGGCAATGATATATTTTTTATTTCATATTCGATTTCAGCTCGTATTCACAAGTTTCTCAATATAAGATTTCATATGACTATACTAAGTATTTAAAAAGTTATGGCCATTTTTAGGTTCAAATCGACATGATTTCAAGGCCCTGTATATCAGAATCTGTATCAGATAATGTGAATTTTTCTGTGTCAGCACTTTTTGAAAATGGTCTATTTTCACAAAAATTAGGTATATTCTGACAAAATTACAATTTGTATACAGGGTGAGTCAAAACGCAAACATAATAATTACTAGCTTAATTTAAATGGATCACCCTATTTTAAGTATATCCAATGGGAAGTCTATTTCTTACTGAATCTTTTTTCATAACATTTCCCTATACCTAACTGTCACCGTTTCTGAGATATTTTCAATTTTATTAAAAAATGTCCACTTTTTGATGTTATAATTTCATTTTAATCTAATTGCCAATGACGTCTTCGAACTTTTGTTGCCAAATAATAGTAGAAAATTAAATATCGATTAATGATTAATCAAATATCATTAGCAGGTACCCTAAATTTTTAGTTATTCTATAATTTACAGTGACATGAGTTCAATAAGTAAAATTCGCATAGTTCGTAGATGATGACGTCATAGAGGTAACTAGATTAAATTAAAATTATAATAATTTAAAGTTTAATTTAAAAATTACCAAATATTTCGGGTAGTTAATGATCGATAATTAATCGATATTACATTTTCTACTATTATTTTGCAAAAAAAGATCGACAATATCATTGGTAATTAGATCAAAATGAAATTATAACATCAAAAACTGGACATTTTTTAATAAAACTGAAAATATCTCGGAAACGGTGACAGTTAGGTATAGGGAAATGTTATGAAAAAAGATTCAGTAAGAAATAGACTTCCCATTGGATATACTTAAAATAGGGTGATCCATTTAAATTAAGCTAGTAATTATTATGTTTGCGTTTTGACTCACCCTGTATACAAATTGTAATTTTGTCAGAATATACCTAATTTTTGTGAAAATAGACCATTTTCAAAAAGTGCTGACACAGAAAAATTCACATTATCTGATACAGATTCTGATATACAGGGCCTTGAAATCATGTCGATTTGAACATAAAAATGGCCATAACTTTATAAATACTCAGTATAGTCATATGAAATCTTATATTGAGAAACTCGTGAATACGAGCTGAAATCGAATATGAAATAAAAAATATATCATTGCCTTTAAAAAAAGGTATGTTTGGTATGGCTTCGATTTATGGGCCACCCTGTATATTTCGAAATAATTTTAAATTGTGCGCCTAAAAGTGCTTAACATTTTTCCCATTTACCATTTTTTCGTATCTATTATAATAACTGAGTAAATGGACTTTACCGCACTATTGGGACACCCTGTATGTAAATTTATGAGGGTACATTGAAGAAATTTCGAAAGCTATACGAATTTAGTATAATTTTAATTTATTACAGAATTCCTTACTTCAGAATTACTTATTCGAAAAGCTTTTAGTAGGTATATAAAGAAAACTTTATTCTTCAATTTATTTTTTTTAATTAAATATAGAAACATAGTCCTCAAAATGAAGAAAACGTCCATCATACAAGCAGGAATCGTATAAATAACTCGAAATCAAACTGGCAAGGAAGACGGATATGCATTACTGCTTTTTCATGTTTACGAAATGAAATGAAAACACCATTTTCTCAGTTACCGGGAAGTTTCGTCTAATATAAAAAGATGAATGAGCTCGGCATATTTTGTTTCCTCAAAGGATCAGAAAGCTCGCAGTGTCAAAATGAGTGTGTATTTCCTACGTGAAATATCGAAAAAGTTGAAATGAAATGAAACTTCGGATACCGGAAAATTCGGTTCGGAATTGTCGCGAATAACTTTTTTCCAAACGAATTGATAATTATTAATCTCGTTGGTTACAGTTAAAAATTATAATGAAAAAATATGTGATTAAACATGAAAAAAATAATTTATTAATATGATGATTGTTAGAAAAGGTTCCTTATTATTCATTTTTTTGTCTTTTCTAATTTTCTCTCTTTCTTTCTAATTACGTATTTTCTCTCTTTTTTTTTCCATTTTTAGTGTTTTTTCGCTACACCAGGTTTCTATAAAGTATTTTCTCTCTACTTTAAGCCGTTTTTAATGTTTTTTTGCTCTACTAGTTTTCAATTTTAAAATTATTTTCTCTCTAATTTTTTGCCGTTTTTAGTGTTTATTCGCTGTACTAGTTTTCAATTTGTAATCTTTTTTCTATCTACTTTTTTCTCATTTTTAGTGTTTGTTTCGCTCTACCAGATTTTCATTTTGTCTCTCTACTTTTTTTGCCGTTTGGAATGTTTTTTTCTCTACTTTTTTCCATTTGTAGTGTTTTTTTCGCTCTACCAGTTTTCTATTTTTTAAGTATTTTCTCTCTACGTTTTTGCCGTTTTTAGTGTTTTCTTCTCTCTACTTTTTTCCATTTTTAGTGTTTGTATCGCTCTACTAGATTTTTAATTTTTCTCTCTACTTTTTTTGCCGTTTTTAGTGTTTTTTCTCCTTTTTTCATTTTTAGTGTTTTTTCGCTATACCAGTTTTCTATTTTTAAAGTATTTCTCTCTACTTTTTTGCCGGTTTTAGTGTTTTTTTTTTCGCTCTACTAGTTTTTAATTTTTAAGTACTTATTTTCTTCCTATACTTCTGATCCATCGTTAAAGTATTTTCTCGCTACTTTTTTCCCATTTTCGTTTTTTTCTCTCTACTTTTTCCCATTCTTAGTGTTCTCTCTATTTTTTTCATTTTTAGTGTTTTTTCGCTGTACCTACTAGTTTCCAATTATTAAAGTGTTTTCTCTCTACTTCTGAACTTCTGATCCATTTTTTAAATAATTCTGCTCTACGTGTTTTCTCTCTTGTTTTCCATGTTTCCCTAAATATCACCAAAGAATAAAGGCTTTGGTTAAGTTCGAAATAGAACAAACCCATGTATAAAACTAAACCAAATCGATGGAAATTCAACTAATGCCAAGCGACTCCGGAGCGTCATCGGCGATACTCCGTAAACCATGTGGCGCCAGTCGAATCCCACGACCGGCCGAGCCATCATCTCCGCACGCAGCCGGTGCACGACTTCCGCCGAAAAGGATCCCGTTCGCTTGACTGCCATCCTTCGGCAGGACCGCAGGCCAGGACAGTCGCGATCGGTTCGGCGCTCGAATAAAAAAAAAACAAACTTTTCTCGCCGCTGTTCGGCGATCGCGCGATTTTCGGTTTAGTTTTTTCCGTTGATTTTTTCCGCAGGAAAGTTTTCGGTTGTTCGGGTGCGACTGTTGGAAGTTATGGTGAGTCTTTTTGGTTATGCGGTGTAAAATGTTTTGTTTAAATTTTAGGTTTCTCGCGTTATACCTGAATAATTAAGGCGGTAAATTGAGTGCTATAATGCTATAGGGAAACGAATAATTTTGTTAATTAAATATATAGCTGACCCAATTAAAATAGCAGCAATTTTTCTAATTAATGGGATAAAGTGACGATATAAATAGATTAAATTCCTACATAGAAAATACGTATTTCGAATTCGATTCTAATTAGTATTCCGGTAACAAATGACGATACATCGCGTTTAATTAGGAAACTTTTCTTCCATTTATATATCAGTTTCTGCTTCCTGCAGGTAATTAGAGAGCAAAGTTCTTATTTTTATCTCGTTTTCCGATCTGAAATTGAATTATCGCTTGTACACTATGCTCCTGGATTTCGGCAATGAAAGTCTAATGTGTTTCTAATTCTTGTGTTCATTAGGTTTATAACTAATGGAACCAGTAATTTACCTATTCATAAATCATTGAAAATACAGGCGTTTTACAAAATAGTTCAAGGTAAACAATAGAAATTCCCCATAAATGCGTTTAGCTTGAACTGAATATATTCAGATTAATTAAATTGAGTGTGGTTTGGTTTACTTCTTCTACTTATTAAATATTGAGGTAAATATTTATCTTTCGATACTGTAATTTTTAATCTACTTTATGAGTAGTCTAATGTAAATGTAGAAAAAATAGGTTATTTTATTATTTAGGTAATTATGAATTGTTGACAGTAAATTGTAAGTAATTAAATAGTTAAATTCTTTTAATTTCTCATTAAAAACGTTATCCTTGGTTATCTTTAATTAAAGAGATTAGAACTGCAGGCTACGCTTTTACTCGGAAATAATTCTCTAGGATTTACTTGAGGTATTGTCTATATCTTGATGATACCTTCTCCGGGATACAACAGCAATTAGAGACGGATTTACCTTGAAAAGTAAGAAAAATAGCGAGTCGTATTGTAGGGATTTTCATTTTTATACGAACCGTATTTCAAACAATTCGTTATCTCTGTATGTTGTGACTTGTAATTTAACTTGTAAACACGAATCATCCCTTATCTATTGGATGCTGCTAGCAGTAGCCTTTTTTTGCTCGGTATTTACATCAATAAAACTTCCTTCATTATAACTTTGCGACGATTTTTTCGACCCGAAAATTCGACTCATCGAACAAACCGCACGTTCCGAGCCGCTCCCGCTCCCGCCCCAACAAAAACTAATAATAATCCAACTAGCAGGGGCGAGAGGACGCGAGGCGCCTCCAAAAAAAATATTTATTCAAGGAAGGAACTCTTTGAAAAATGTATCTGATCCATTATGCTGATTTCCTCTTTTTTTCTGACTTTGAGCCTCGCGAATCCGCTTTGATGCGAAATAAGAAAAATGCGAGATTGCCGAAGCATAAATTTAGCGATATTCGGTATTCTTCATACGCCGCTCGGGACTCTGACAAGTGTACGTACTTATCAAAGGACAAAAGATGGAATATTAGACAGAGTGGCATTAAAATGAACTACTGCACTAAAAGTAGACTCTGTTTATTTGGTAAAATTTAGATAAGATTATTGAATTACTATTGAGGATTTAAAATAAAAGAAGACGAAGAAGGTTTTCCAGTTGGAAACGGCAAGTTCAAATGCATTGCATCATACAGGATAAGAGATTTTCCGGCAAACTTACACCATTACGGATTTGAGGAAACACCAAGCTTATCTTTTCTCCATACACATACAACATACAGAGCAAACACACTCGCAGCGCTAACAATATCAGCGATTCTCCATTTAGCGGAGTTTTTGTAAACGTTTTCCGTTTCGCTCGCTCAGTTTCTCCATCGATCGATGCTCAAACATCAGTTCTTAGTTATCTTTATATGAGCGAATAGATTTATTAGCTCCGACGGATGCCTTTAGATCGTATTGTGTTCAATCTTGCGTCACGTTTCCCAGCAAATATTTTCTTTATTGTTATCGAAACGTTATTATTATACAGGATAAGATGTAGTAAAAGTGAACTACTCAATTTTCAGCTGGAGTCTCATCTTCAAAATAATTTAAATTTAATCCAGAAAAGTCTTTGTTAATAAGAATTGTTAGTATTGTTCCAGAAACATTCCCTTGAATTTTTGCCAAATATTTATTAATAAACACGCTGTGTAGTAATAAGATGTAGTACAATTGACCATCCCAACTTTAAGCTGGATTCTCGTCTTGGAAATAATTTAAATTTCATCCGGAAAAGTCTTTGTTACGATTCGGTGCCGTGTATTCCATAAAAGCGTTTATAAATTGCGATTTAACAGTATTTAACTTAGTTTAGCGCAGAACTATTATGTTAATAAATAATTCAACTTTTACATTTCGCTAAACAACGAATGAGAATATTGTAGAGGAACGGGCGGACGTTAATTATTAGCACGATTACATCGCTTCGGGCGGGAGAATATTCACGACTCAACTGCAAAATTCATAATAGAAATGAAAAATAAAATAAGTGCATCCATTAGTGTTAAAGTATGTATCTTAATTAATTTAGTGCATTTAATATTAATGCCATATACTTAATGCCTTTTGGTAGAGTTTTGTTTGTCTACGAATTTGTAATTTTCACTTTTCTCCGATAATTTCTTTATTAAGTTGTGTGTATACCAAGGCTAAATAATAATTAATTCCCTTTAGAAATTTTCCCAATTTTCCGAGTCGACGACATAAAATTTTTAAATTGTTTACCCCTAACATTATCTCAAGAACACTTGATAATGGGTTTCCGTAATTTCGTTTGCGTTTCCCCTTTCCCGGAGAACGACCTAAATTAATATTTTCCACAAGAGAATAAATTATCGCAAAGCGCAATGAGTTAGAGTTGTACGTAAGGAACATGTAAATCTTTAGAGATAATGGAATCGCGATCTAAAGTCCTCATTTCGCCTAATCTCCTAATTAATTGTTTCATTCCGTTTTTCCTTTTTGCGAAATTATCTTTTTGTTGATCTAATTGAAAATTTAATTAAAGTTTCGGGATGGCGGAAAAACCGCAAATCTCCGCGAATGGTTTCGACATTTTTAATATTACGTATAAAACGAACGGCAAACAGATACAAATAATAAATAACCAGCGAAAGGGAAGGAATAAAAGATGCTGAAACGGTTATAATTCGTTGCAAAAATGTTCCAGTAAACTGGATTAAATTGCATGGAAATTATATCTAATTGTGTATAATTAGAAAAAACATTTTGTTATACTAATGAGATACAATTTTTTTAATATTTAATTAAATAGCTAGATTATTATTATTATTACGGGAATGTTTCATATTTCTTAGTGTAGATGAAAATATTTGTTTTTAAGTAACTAACTGTTGTGTAATCATTTTTTGTAGTAATTATTCGAATATTAAATTTTGCACCAATTATAGGTAAATAATAAAAAATTTGAAGTATTCAAAAACTATTTTCAATTAATTCTTTGAGCGCTTACCATGTTTTTTGTTCAGAACAAAAACAGACTGCATTTAAATATGCAATACGTTTTTAATCGAATAACGTGCGTATTTTAAATCGTTACAAAAACAAATATGCACTTTTTGTGCGCTAACACACGAATTCAAATTAAAACGGACGTTCTGCAACAAATTGCAAAGTAAACACGCCTAAAAAGGAGTCAGAATTTAAATGCAAAACTGCATAATTTCGACATAATTTAAAAGTTTTTAGATTAAAGTAAAACCCGTTACAGCGAACAATGTTAGTTTTAATTAGAAAAAGCTCAGCATTAGATAGGAATAATATTTTACCCGGAAGATATAAAGAAACGAATCTAAAATGGATAGTAATATGAGTACTATTTAGCGAAAACCCACATGTTGCCAATACAATTTATTATCGTTTAAAATGTTTAAGACGCTGGATCGATACAAAACGTATCTCTATACCGATATGTACCGAGTTTTCCTCGTCGGTGTATCCGTTATGAAGACGAATAGATCTAATAGTTCGCCGGGACGGGGACGTTGAGATATTAAATAAAAATGAATGTTCCCGTTGTCCGACGTCGAAATTTATGTTGATTTATATTTGACGGCGGCGTTTTTGCGCTACATAAAAGAATAATGAATGGTATTCAATTTACCTTCGCCGGAAAAAATCGGGACATCCTCATTGTTCGCTTATATTGGCCCGTATATTCGAATTTTTTCGAACTTTGTATACAAAGTTACCGGATGATACAAGACTGAAAAGAGAGTCGTTTGTCTACCTCGGTGAACTATTTTTACAAATCATTTCAAACAGCTTTAAAACTTAATAATAAATACCGCAGATGTTCCAAACGACCGTCGGGAACTTATTTAATTAAAAAACCGCCATTAAACTGGATCCGTCAAAAACAAACCCGATTCCACATAAAATACCTGACTTCCAGTCGCACAGTCTCCTCTAATTTCCTTTTATCTCCCGTGCAACGGTTTTGACGATCTCCGCATCGAGGAACATTGTTTATTTCGCGAAAACTCGCACACTATACCTTTAAAACTTCCCGAAAAGGTATTCAGCGAAACTACTGCGAGGAGTCGACCGAAATTAAAGCAGCGAAACTCGAAAAGCCGACGGTTTCTTAGGGAGGTTTAACGTTTCATTGTCGATGCGATGATGTGAGATTAAAACTTTATCTCTTAAGAAATAATTATAAAGGCATTTACTTTAATTCTCGTTTTTAAGTTTTCTTTTGAAGTTGTAGTAGGCTCCAAATTTTTGTATTAATTATCTATTACCTACTTTCAATAAAACATGCTTAAAGGAAATTTCACACTTTCGTACGTATCCTCGTATATAATCATTAAAGTCTACCGGTTTCCGGATAACCGAAGTTCGGTAGCGCAGATCAAAAGGACTGGCACTCGTCCTGATCAAAAGGATTTCTTAGATTTCAGTTTTTCGGCGAAACTTTTCTGCTTTAACTATGTCCTTTCGCGTT